TTATAGTACTTGTCCTGTAAGAATAAAATCAAGCTGCATTTATCACAAACTACTTAAAGCTTGTAATCAATAAAGTAGCACTACTGGGAAGCCGAACTTACACAAATTTTTGGAAGTATGTGATCATTCTCTTTATTGAACAAAGTGAAGTGTGCACTAATTTCGACGTGTTCTGCAGCTTTACTCGGAACTATAGTTTTATCTCTAATACAGCCGAGATAATTTTACCCCTCCCCTTTCGGATGAAAATTCACTGATGCGCCAATATTCACTGATCCAAGCTCTATAATTCATGATAATTGATGAAGGTAAACAATTCTTTCTGAGCTGTTACTCTAAATCACTTTCTAGCAGAAATCCTGAGTATATTTTAAGTTACTTTGTTAAAATTTCCAATGGCAATGCGCTTAAATTTCTCGTCTAAATGTTTGTTTTGGGTTTATGACATACGACATGAACGATTTGCCTCCCAGTAGGACTTTCTATGGGAAACTAGCTGTAATTTAAGCGTTAGATATTTGATATAAAAGAAAACCTGGAAAAATTTGCATGGGAAGCAGGTTGATAAGGCGCGAAACTGTGTTATGCACTCAGCTAGTGGTGTACTCATCTAAATACGGATGTATTTACTGTCTGAGAAGGAGAATTTATGATTTTATTCTTATTATTTAATATTTTCTCGTGTATTTTTGCTTTTATTATTATACTATTATTATTTAAACTTTATTAATTAACTGTCTCTTGCAATTTCACAGTTTATTATCTCGAGTTTATCAAAATATAAGCTTAATATTTAAAAAAAAAATTTTAATCTTTTTAGAAATATCTTATATTACGTATTAATAGTTGCTTGTATAAAGTAACACATTAGAATAGAAGGAAAAAAAACTACAAAATCATTTTGATAAACTTTTCTTTTGTTTGATTATGGAACGAAAGATGGCGCCACGATAAATATTGTCTACTCGCAGATCGATGAATATAATTGAATACCATGCTCTATGAAAAACACGATAAATTATGAATAATTAATTTTTCCTTTCCTTTATTTTGTTTTTAATTAAGATATTTAATTATTTAAAAGTAAATTTTCTAAAAGTGTTTGACTGATTTACACATACATAAAAGACACTGTTTACAGTTTACTATTGGAAATATCATTAAAATTGATAATAATGTAACGAATTAAAGTTCAGTTTAATTATTGTCTTAATTAAAACTTTAAATATTTTTTTTTATAAAAATCTGTAACAATAATAACATTTTCAAAATATAAAGATTTCAGGTAAGGAAAAATAAAAATTTATTATAAATGCATCTTAATATCTGTTTTAAATTACCGAAAAAGGCATAAAATATCCTCATAAATGTACAATCTTATAGTCTTATAACTCATAACAAACTAATAATCTTATTGTTTAATCGTAGTCACATACAGTCAAATCGCTGAACAGCGGCCACTTGACTAAAACATAAAATATGACCGCTGTATAGAGGTGGCCTTTATAGGAAGAGCGACTGTATGTATATAATTTGAGCAATTTTATAAAATTTCTAATTGACAGATAATTTATTGTGTTCTCCTTTCCTTTCCCCTTTTGGAGGTGTGACCTTTGACATCTGAGACGAGTAAGCGTTTATTGTCTAGCTGGTTATTATTTGGGGATTTTTCTGAAGAGTTGTTAAAAACTCTTTATTTTATATCTATTTTTTTATGTTTATTGGTAAAATCGTATTAATTAATTATCTCTGGCAATCTCTTCAGGGATTTAAAATAAAATTTTTCATTCAGCATCATAAAAAATTATTTTTAAAAAGTACAAAAATTGTATAACAATACTTCACACGAGCCAAAATCAAGTAACAAATATCTAAGTGCTTAAAAGACTAAAATAATTTTTTCACATCACAAGCATACATATAAACCCAAAAGCGCTTTTATGTAAACACTTCTATTTATCAGTATCTCAAAGAAATTGCTCAATCCTACCTCTATTAACAGCAAAACATGTATTAGTTCAGCTTATTGTTGAGTCATAAACACGGAAAGTCGTCTGGTGTTAGTGTTTGATGGCCTCCATAATTCAAATCCAAAATCTGCAACATATACTTGCACCATGGATCAGCACGTAATATATAGGCCTACTGAGCTACAGAAACAACAGGAAATTCGTTTTTCTCTGAACGTTTTGATGTGGAATTTGATACGATCGTCTCATTGGTTCTTTTTTCGAGAGACATTTACTGCCAAAAGGTGTCTGCATTTCTCGCAAACTGTAATTGATGGATAGCTGGACGACCTCATCTATATCATTGCTAGCTTATTTGATTGGAATATGACGACGTACCACCGCGTGATACTAGAAATGTTCAACAATAGCTTAATGACTACTTTGGAGAATAGTGAATTGGCCCAAATGGTCCACTACAGTGACATCGAACATCTCCTGATCTTATTTCTGTGGATTTTTGTGGAGATATTTAAAAGATTGTGAGTATGAAATATCAGTATTGGATATTACAGGTCTCGAAAAGCGAATTATGGATGCCTGACCAACACTAATTCCTGACACAGTAATTTCCCATGTTCATGACTCAACAATTGAACAAATACACACGTGTTGCTGTTAATGGTGAGCGATTTCTTTAGGTATTGCTAAATGGATGAGTTTACGTATTTTCGTGTCGAGCATGCTAAAATGTTAAGTTCGAAATTATAGTACTTGTCCTGTAAGAATAAAATCAAGCTGCATTTATCACAAACTACTTAAAGCTTGTAATCAATAAAGTAGCACTACTGGGAAGCCGAACTTACACAAATTTTTGGAAGTATGTGATCATTCTCTTTATTGAACAAAGTGAAGTGTGCACTAATTTCGACGTGTTCTGCAGCTTTACTCGGAACTATAGTTTTATCTCTAATACAGCCGAGATAATTTTACCCCTCCCCTTTCGGATGAAAATTCACTGATGCGCCAATATTCACTGATCCAAGCTCTATAATTCATGATAATTGATGAAGGTAAACAATTCTTTCTGAGCTGTTACTCTAAATCACTTTCTAGCAGAAATCCTGAGTATATTTTAAGTTACTTTGTTAAAATTTCCAATGGCAATGCGCTTAAATTTCTCGTCTAAATGTTTGTTTTGGGTTTATGACATACGACATGAACGATTTGCCTCCCAGTAGGACTTTCTATGGGAAACTAGCTGTAATTTAAGCGTTAGATATTTGATATAAAAGAAAACCTGGAAAAATTTGCATGGGAAGCAGGTTGATAAGGCGCGAAACTGTGTTATGCACTCAGCTAGTGGTGTACTCATCTAAATACGGATGTATTTACTGTCTGAGAAGGAGAATTTATGATTTTATTCTTATTATTTAATATTTTCTCGTGTATTTTTGCTTTTATTATTATACTATTATTATTTAAACTTTATTAATTAACTGTCTCTTGCAATTTCACAGTTTATTATCTCGAGTTTATCAAAATATAAGCTTAATATTTAAAAAAAAAATTTTAATCTTTTTAGAAATATCTTATATTACGTATTAATAGTTGCTTGTATAAAGTAACACATTAGAATAGAAGGAAAAAAAACTACAAAATCATTTTGATAAACTTTTCTTTTGTTTGATTATGGAACGAAAGATGGCGCCACGATAAATATTGTCTACTCGCAGATCGATGAATATAATTGAATACCATGCTCTATGAAAAACACGATAAATTATGAATAATTAATTTTTCCTTTCCTTTATTTTGTTTTTAATTAAGATATTTAATTATTTAAAAGTAAATTTTCTAAAAGTGTTTGACTGATTTACACATACATAAAAGACACTGTTTACAGTTTACTATTGGAAATATCATTAAAATTGATAATAATGTAACGAATTAAAGTTTAGTTTAATTATTGTCTTAATTAAAACTTTAAATATTTTTTTTATAAAAATCTGTAACAATAATAACATTTTCAAAATATAAAGATTTTAGGTAAGGAAAAATAAAAATTTATTATAAATGCATCTTAATATCTGTTTTAAATTACCGAAAAAGGCATAAAATATCCTCATAAATGTACAATCTTATAGTCTTATAACTCATAACAAACTAATAATCTTATTGTTTAATCGTAGTCACATACAGTCAAATCGCTGAACAGCGGCCACTTGACTAAAACATAAAATATGACCGCTGTATAGAGGTGGCCTTTATAGGAAGAGCGACTGTATGTATATAATTTGAGCAATTTTATAAAATTTCTAATTGACAGATAATTTATTGTGTTCTCCTTTCCTTTCCCCTTTTGGAGGTGTGACCTTTGACATCTGAGACGAGTAAGCGTTTATTGTCTAGCTGGTTATTATTTGGGGATTTTTCTGAAGAGTTGTTAAAAACTCTTTATTTTATATCTATTTTTTTATGTTTATTGGTAAAATCGTATTAATTAATTATCTCTGGCAATCTCTTCAGGGATTTAAAATAAAATTTTTCATTCAGCATCATAAAAAATTATTTTTAAAAAGTACAAAAATTGTATAACAATACTTCACACGAGCCAAAATCAAGTAACAAATATCTAAGTGCTTTACTTGTTTCTTTAATTAATTTATTCTATTATAAATAATATTATTAAATTTGTAAACAAATTTTAATATAAAATATATGCAACTTATATATATTTAATTTTAACAAAGTTTTTTAAATCTTCTGGTGATTTTTATGTTGTAAAGAAGAAATTTTTGTTAATACTGTGAGTTAATTTCAGATAAGACGTATATTATACTATACTAAAAATTAGAACAAACTTAATAAAATAATTTAAAAAATAAATATTTATCTGACCGGGTAAGAAATGATCAATTTTAGAAAAAAATTAATAGTAATTCTATGCGAATTTGTGGATTTTATGGGAGTTTTTATAGAAATATTTCTCGTCGCTAGAGTTCGCTCTGTAACCAAGTAAAGGGAATGACGAAACCGTTAGCTGTTCACAATCGCGGGAGGAAGCGATGAGGGAGAAGTTTCTACAGTACTCCGGGATGCCATACAACTATCACGAGACAGAGAGAAGGCATTCTTCGTTAAGAAAGAGAGTTTGACACTGGACCATGCCCAGACTACAATCCATACCTGAAGGTTTGGCCACCGTCACCTCTAGTCATCAAGTGAGGTCACCGGTGGAGATCATGAGAAGATACATGGAATCGTTCCCCGAAGAAATAAGTTGTCGAGAAGAAATGTCCACCTTTCAATTCTGGAAGGCTGTCAGAACCGAATTTCTAGCCACGTTGCTATTAACCGTTATGGGTTGTGGTTCCTGTCTTGGATCTAAGGTGCCACCCTCTGGAGAAGAAATGGCCTACAATAGATTAGTAGACATCAAAGTCAGTTTGGCTTTCGGATTCTCGGTGGCCACTTTGGTCCAATGCGTGGGCCAGATCAGCGGGGCACACATGAATCCCGCTGTTTCCGTAGCCTTTCTTGTAGTCAGGCACATTACCGCTGCTAGAGCGGTGGCTTATGTTCTGGCACAATGTTTGGGTGCTACTAGTGGTGCTATTATTCTATATGGATTGACTCCTTTGGATCAAAGGGAAGCCGCTGGTTTGGGTGCCACCGAACTCGCTGATGGCGTACACGTGAGTCAGGCCTTCGGTATGGAATTTATGGCTTCTTTCTTGGTGGTGCTCACTGTATTAGCAAATGTAGATCCTCACAGAACGGATATGGGTTTCAGAGCTTTATCTATAGGACTTTCTTACGTAGTCGGACATTTTTTAGCGGTAAGTTAAATTACATTAACACGATCTTTACATTACTCAAGTTAGTTGATTTTACTACAAATTTACCTAAGAAATTCTTTAATTTATTTAACTGAGATGAATCAGATGCAATTAAATTAAAATTTCTACTAACAAGTCTTCTCTTGATATTTTAATTTAATTTTTCATGTATAAAAATCCATAAAAATAGAACTTTATTGTGTAGAATCACATTTCAGATACTCGATTTTCTTAAATTTTAATTTTTTACACATTTTAAACGCCATTAAACATATTTTAAAAGATAATTAATGTAAGATCGTCTGATAACTATTGTTATATAATTAAAAAAATCTGAAAGAAGGGACATTACAATTTTGCTCACTTGTAATCAAATTTCATATGAGATATCGACAGGTTACTTTTTTTACATTAAAGAGAATAATCTCTAATTATAGAAATAAGGTAATAAAAGAAAGTCATTTATACAGAAGCGAATAGTGGAATGTAATTAGTTACACTTCGTTAACTCACCAATCGAGATTCAGCCAATTATTTGTACAACCAACGATCAATATGTCATTCTTAGGAGTAACCATTCCGCCCGATACTGTCTGCCAGTTAAAGGCTAGAGAAATATTCTCTGTAATTCCACTGGAAAATAAGCCAAAAATTCGTGGATAAAAAAGAAATTTTCACATTTATTTTTCTCTCTAGATGTTGATCTTTCTTCTGAAAATAAATTTTACATCCAAAAAAAAAAAANGTACTCTTTCTGCTTCGTTCTGCATTCTTCTTCCTAACAGCTCAGTTGCTCACAATATACCATTTTCCAATTATCTAAAACACTTTTTATATCTTTACGACTTTATTTTTCAAAACAACTTCGATTATTTATATTAATTTCACTTTTTTTTAATCTGTAGACGGAATTAGTCTACACTAAATTACGTCTTTCTTAAACTACTTTTGTAAAAAAATAAACTACAGTACGTAAGCTACACTTGCATTTAATCCCTTTGTATTCATGTGTTAAATATGCTTACTAGACTTTTATTTTCAGTTTACTTTGGTAATTTTCTACAGAAATTTTTTTATAATTATAAACAACTCTTTTTATACTCATGTATTTTGTAATATTAATGTGTTAATCCTTGATTATTTATTAAAAAATACAATTTTTACTAATTTTTGTGGCCTAGTGGATAATATTACTGAACAATAATAGTTCGTTGCGAACCCGTACTTGGCCCTTATTTACGTGTTAGATACGTGAAGAAAATACACAATAATTCCATGTGATCAGGAGAGAACCCGAGACAAACTACCAGTATATTATTCATTGGTTTTATTTAGTCAGCCACTAAATAATACATTTTGAAAAGAAAAAAACACTTACTGAATATAGGGCTATAAAATAGAGCATTAACAAATAATAAAAGCATTCTAGAAATATATAGATTATTGATTATATCTAATTCTCATTCGGTAGGTCACCTTGTAAAATGCAATTTATTTAATTTCTTTCCGAATAAAATCGAATTATTATCATTGAGGAATAGAAAGTCTATGATAATGGAATAGTTTATGATTATTTTCTATAAATTTAATCTAAAATTTTCAAAACAATTTTAATAAAAATATATACTTACCGGTTGCCTGCTTCTATCAATTGTGCGATAGCGTCAAGCTTATGTTTGTTTTTGGAGAAAATCTTTGTAAAATAAAAGTTTATATAATACGATTTTGTGTTACCATTTTCTTTGAAATAACAAAGCAAATCCCTGTAAGGTTTAAACCTATTATAGAAATAATAAAATGTTTCAAACCATAGAAACTTTACCATATTTTATTACTAAAAGTATTATATTTATATATAAAATAAGAAATGTTTAAAGTTTGTTTATACTTTTAGTATCAGAGGTACGGAAATGGCTCACCATATATACCAGTATATGTAGCATTTTCTATTGTTTAGCCTTACAAAACTAACAATATATTTAAAATATATTCTTATCACTTTATATATTTTTTCTGACCGGCTTCATTTTTTAATCTTTCTGCCCTTTGGATACTAAGAAGGCCTTTTATTCATACCTTTCGTGGGTTCGGCCTGGTTAACATTGTGGTAGTCGAGTGGTGAGGATGGACTAATATAGCTATCGCCCCGAAAAATTATTTCGATTTTTCTACTAATCGGATTCGATTCCGGTCCTCCAGGATGGTAGGTTGAACCTAACCTTCCATTTTCACTTTTATCTAGTTCATTCAATGTAAAGAAATTAAATTAAGAATGTTCTTTTCATGCATGGATTGGATTGGTGGAATAAGGTAAATCTGCCAAGAGGTGACTCGCGGGAGGACTTTCTATAGAAAACTGGAAAAGTACATATGATGAACCCTTTGGTGGGGTCCGAACCCGCGATCAACAACCAGCATTCAGTGATTTTATTCACTTTTCGTGCATGAATTTAATTAAAAAAATGTTCTGCTTATCTGCGAGTATGAAGAAAACTAAATATTCCTTAAAAGTACCAAAAAATTAAATTATTCATAGTTTTAAAGGTAATAAATAAATAAAATTATGATAAATGTTTTTAGAAATGACGAACTCCTTACCAATGATAAAGAAACTTACAAGTAATTCCTATACCATTCTTCCCATACAATTGAATTACATGGGAATTATATATATATATATGTCAAATTAATTCTGTTCTAATTAAACTACAGATTATAACTGACGTTCGATTGTATAATATTATAAAACGTGGGTTCGTTTAGGCCAATGGGGTCAAACATATTCGGGACAGACGGCCAATGTTAAATTTTTGTGGAGTTGCCGGCTTGGATTTGATCCCGGATCCCCTAGAGCGAGAGGATAACGCCTTTCTCCATCCGTTCTGTGTGTGAAGTAAATACTTATTTACACTTATGCACTGTATTTTAAAATTCTGTAGAAAATTATACCGCATCAGATAGCAAATGTATGGTAAAAATATTTAGTAAACTTTTTATAAATACGATAATAATAAAGTAGAAAAAAATGCATTATTAATTTAGCTGCGTTATTGCCATCAGCGAGAAGAAAAGAACAATTGCTCTAAATGACATTTTATTGATATTTTTAAAGCGAAAATACCCGTCATTTGCNAAGGCTGAACCTGGCATAAATAAACAACCAGACAAATACAACACTATCGAAGTCGTCTATAAAAATACCCTGCACATGCGAACCGCCAAAAGTATACATTGGAGAAACAAAACAAAAATTAGAAACAAGATTAAAAGAACACATCGTGGATCTGAAGTATAATAGAATCAAGTCTGTTTTTTATGAACATTGCACAACCCACAACTGCAAAATAGATAAGAATGATGTTATAATAGTACACAAAGAAAAAAATTGGTACAAAAGAAAATTCAAGGAAAGCTACGAAATTACCACAGACAAAAATAATATTAACAAGAATTTAAGCATAGAAATTTATAAAAACTGGCTACAACTATTAAAATAGAATGTTTATATAGTCGCAGGCGAGCTGTGTGCAGCACTCTGGAAGTGAGACGTTGCACGTTGCGAGGTATGCGGGGGAGGCCGTCAAGTCAGAAGGGAAGGGAAGGGGAGTGAGAAGTACGGAAGGTGCCTGACAGATACTGTATACACAAGATACAACCTATCTATGTAACAGACTGAAGAGAGGCGAAAGCCAGAAACGCGTGTCTATATGGATTAAAAGTTGATGATGAAATTATTTGCCAAGTGTCAATAAATTCACCAAGTTTGACATTGAACCAAAATAAAAAATTAATTAAACAATTTTCTATGAGGTTTATATCAGTAGAAATGTGAGCATTTACTTCATATCTAACAGTTAATTTATTGTTTTAGACACGTAAAGAAAATCCGGAAAAATTTGTGTGGCCAATCAGTTGTGAAGCGCGGGTTCGCACCCTTCGATGATATGCGAACCCGTGACCTCAATGTCCAGTATTCTTATCCATTCAGCCATTTTACCGTTTTATTCACGTTATTCATTATCTCATGTACCGATCTGATGAAAAATATTGCTGTTACATCTAATAATTGTTTTACAAGATATGTACCAAAAGTAAGGCCCAATCCTTAATGACAAGTTACATTAAATTTTTAAATTAGCTATTTGAAACTATTCAGTCTAAGCTGTTGTTCTACATAGTCGCCATTTTTTTCCATACACTTTTGTTAGCGTGAGTCAAGAGCAAATATTCTCCACTTAATGATTTGAAAAAGTCCATGACCGCATCTTTAACTTCATCATCATCTGAGAAGTGTAAGCCACTGAGATGTATCTTAAAAGGTCCACAAAGATAAAAATTAGAGGGTGCCAAGTCCGGACTATGAGCAGGATGATCCATTACTTCCACACAGTCTGGACTTAGCACCCTCTAGCACCTTATAATAAACCTTAAGGCTTTATTATATATATACATATACTTTTTAAAGAAATAGATATTAATTTTAACTAAATTTTAGAGATATATTTTATTGATCTGCTTGAAAATTAACCGAATAATGTTTAAAGCGTTGACAATTTGACCTTTACTCTGTAATTTTAGATTATAAAATATATTCGAAAAGTGTAAGCTTAAATAGTATAAATTCTCGTTCTTTGAATAATTACAATTTAACAAATTAATATTTTAAATAATTTGTACTGAATTTTATTTAATCCAATAACTTTCTAAAGTAATTGTTTAAGAATTTAATCAGTTTCATATACATTTAAATCGATGTCTTCCTCTCAAAACAAGTGGAAATGTCTTTCTATTCTTTCCCCTTCTATAATTAGGGAGGTCAAGATGAGTGAAATTGTCCTCTTTCGTGTCCTCTTCTATTCGTTTAAATGCCAGAAAATTTTATTATATTTATATCCAATGTTATAAATGAATTTTATTTATACTTAACAACAAATTTCTTTAGAATTTATGCTTAAATCATATTTATGGTAATGGGTGCTTTAAGTTTTCCTCTTTTGCGA